TCGGGATGCGATTCTCTCCCTCGAAATGCAAAATGTTGCTTCAGGATTGGGTTACATCGACACCCGAACTAGTGATAGGGAGTGAAGTAGTTGATTGTGTCGACCGCTTCACTTATCTTGGAAGTCTCATCAGCCCTTGTGGTCTGGTATGTGACGAAATCTCGGCACGGATACAGAAGGCTCGACTAGCTTTTGCGAACTTGCGTCATTTATGGCGCAGGCGAGATATCCGTCTATCAACCAAAGGACGGGTTTACTGTGCAGCAGTACGTCCCGTCCTACTTTATGGCAGTGAAACATGGCCGGTAAGAGTAGAGGATATTCGTAGGTTACTAGTATTCGATCATAGGTGTCTTCGAAACATTGCTCGTATATCATGGGACCATCGAGTAAGTAACACAGTTGTTAGGAAACGGGTACTAGGTGAGGATGGCAAATCAATTGATGAAGTGGTGAAACTTCATCAGTTGAGATGGCTGGGACACGTGTTACGTATACCCAACGACCGACTGCCTCGACGTGCGATGTTAAGTGGTATAGGAGTAGGTTGGAAGAAAGCTAGGGGCGGCCAGACCAAAACATGGCACAAGTCCATGAAGTCACTGACAAGTGGTCTGAGTCATGTTGGTAGGTGTAGACTACCTGGTTGGGGACCGCGAGATGATAGCAACCGATGGTTAGAGACCTTGAATGACATGGCTCAAAATCGTTTGCAATGGCGCAGGTGCATCCACTCTTTGTGTTCTCCCAAATTTTGATCTCCTGATTCCCACTTGTCTCTTTTTTTTCTCTTCTCAAGTTTATTTCACTGTATTATACTCTTTAAGTAACATCTCCAAACCCTAATCTTACCGATTACTACTTATACTCTTATTACCTCTACCACTACGGGATTTGAATCGACCACTGCATCTCTGTGCTAATGTGGTGTGGCAACTCGAACTGATGTACGTACGTACGAAGTTCTACGTTGTTACTGACTGACTGGAGAGTGGTAGCAAGGTAAACCCCCTTTCTTGAAGTCCTCCCTCTTTTGGTTCATGTAAGTCAATCGACTCAGCTCATTTGGGATGACTTCGCATCGATTTGTGTATCTACAGAGTGAATGTCATTTGATTCATCTCGGTTACGCTTTCTAATGCGCCTTTTAGTAGTATCTACCACTGAAATCGCTTCGAATAGGAAGCTGTTTTTGCCTCAGCAGCATTGCCAGGTTGTTAGCACTTACATTTTTGGCACATTTCCAGTCAACAATCAGACGTTTGAAAAAAAATTAGACACAGAAAACACATGGAGACAAAAATGATAACAAGAAAAAGTGAAACCGTGAGCTGTTAGATCTAAAAGTGCAACAAACAAAAATCCCAGTGTACTCAAAGATCACAGATGCTAAATTTCTTTGAAAAAACTATACTTTCTGGTGTTACTTTAACTGAAATTAATTTAATAAAGTAAAAACAGTATTGTTAACGCTTAATAAATGATTAGAACTATAAATTTAACTCTGAGGGGAAATACCACTGTCATTTTAAATAACACGCTTTAGATTGTACAATACTGTTAGCAAAACTCTCGAGGGCTTTGCTAAGTTAATCATGATTATATTAGTGATTTGGTCAAATATTTCATAATTTCTTTCCACTTACAATTTATCTTGTATGTGAATTTCCCAATAAGTCACTGTATATGCAATTAAGTGAGTATTTAGGTTTACTTATGAACCTTAGCCTGTTTATATTTGTTGATGTAATAAGTATTTGCTTTCGCATTTATCGTACCTTGATCCGTATGTTGATTTAGATTTTTTTTCTCGGACTATATACAATTTAAAGGAAATTCAGCGAAGAGAATTTTCGTTTCAACGATATCATTTACTCAAGCTGTACATTCGTATTTATAATTGTCTATAGACATATATATTTACTAATGTACAGGTTAAGTGGATGATTTCGTCTAAATGAAAATTTTCTCGGAATCCTATTTTTATTCAATGACGCAATGGGTTAGTTTAATTATGTTATTTGTTTAAACTCCTTTAAAAAAGAGTTTTGCTATATTTAGTTACTTTAGGACATATACAATGGTGTTAACCGTATCATTTTTTTTACTATCCAAAAAACCGACTATTTGTCAAAGATTACTTAGTAGTGATCCAAAGTGGTACGTAAATTTTATGCGGTCGCAGTAAGCTAAAACATTTAGTGATAATATTTTGACTTTAATCCATATTTGTATATTGAGGACAGGAGGTCAAATGTATGTGTTAGGCATTTTCTAGTAAGTTTGTCTGTGTGTCTAATCTTTTCTTGAATGAGTCAGTTAGAAGTACACGCATCACTTTCCCCGTTAGTACGTTCCAAGAGTTGGTTAATCGGTAAGAAAAACCTGTAAGTCATGTGTATTTTGTTCGTTCTTGACTTTTGAACTTGCCTTCTATGTCCTCTGAGTTGTTTTGGCCTAGTTGGAAGAAAAAGAGAAGACATCAAATCCAAAACATTTTTTAATATTTAATTTACAGTAAGATAGTATAGGGGTTAAGCAAATATTTTTTTTCATAATTCCAGTTAGTTAGGCGTCTAAAATATATTATAAAGGACGTATTACTAAGCTTTTGGTAGTAAAACGTTTTTAATCAATACATAAGGATCATATTTCATTATTTCACCAAAATCGTCCCCAACTTTTATTAGTAACACAACAGAAGTACGTTCTAAACTGTGTCACTTAAGTCAATCTTGGAATACATGGTTATAAGGAAGCCCCATGGTTTGGATTTAGAAGCTGTTACACAATAGCCATTATTCAGTTTGCTAATTAACGATTAGATATGACGTCCTGTCTCTTAAGTAGATTGTTTGCCTAAGTATGTCTCGACATTCGTGGTAGGATGCTTAACGTTTCGAATATCCGTAAGAAGTTTTATCACTCTCGGTAATTGTCGCCTTTTTAAATTGAACTAGTAATACCTCTGAAAGTGTAACTCTAAAAGTTAGTGTATAGCATAATGGGTGTTGTAAAAATCTCTAAAGCATTATCAGTGAATAGCATGTTCACATCTAAGTAATTTTCAATTAAAAATGTAACGAATACAGAACACATGAACACACAGGTATCACACTTATTTACTTGTTCTCCTTTAAAACCAAGTTTATGAATGTAGTGATTAGTGTGTCATAGATTAAAAAGTTGATCACCAAAACGGCAATTAATTTCCGCCTACTGAATTTCCTAATAAGATATTTGTATATTTAAAGGAGGGAGAGAGATAGTGTACATATCAAATGTATCATGAAAAAGATTCAGAACAAAACAAGAATAAACGGTATATGTCGATTAATAATCGAATATAACAAACAAATTCTCTATTAATTTATATTATGAGGAATATTGTCCAATAGACAGATAATTTTTATTGAATGTGAACAAAACAAATGAAAATGTATTGGTCACTGATTTCGCATAATGAGCAATGATTGAAGTTGATGAGTTACAATGATATTTGTGTAGTTATTGTTGAACATGATAGATATGAAAGAAAGACTAAGAAAATAGACATTGAAGACGAAAAGAAAGGGAGTGGAGTACAGAGATACTGGGGGACAAGATAACATGATGACAGAAAAGAGAAACAGAATGTACGTAAGCAGAATGAATCAATCGCCAAGCTGCACACAATTATCACATGGATTATAGGAATTACTCAAAATGTAACGGGGGGTGAAAACAATAAGTGCAAACAAACAAACACGACAATTTATTTCTGTTATTATTATTAATTTTCAAATTGTCTTACCGAGGTTTTTCCTCTTAACAATCAAAACAGAAAACCCATAAAGGATCCATCTACATATGGTATTTGTCGATAATTAGCAGCAACCGGCACCAGTTTCCGGAAGTTACCCATAATTTAATCTTCACTAGCATATAATAAATCTCCAAATATTGTTATTATTTATAAATTCATGTATTCGACTATAAGCCTCATTCTAAATATGAGAGTTAATGATACATTACTCGATTGGGGCGGGATTCAAACTTGGAAATTAGTGGCTAAGACTCTAACCACGAACCCACCTTTGCACAAAACTAGTGAGACAAGGTTGTGTTACAGAAAACGTGAATGAATCCGCTATACTTCATTAACTATCATTGTTTAACATAGAGTCTATGATCTAGGCTATACACTTACTTAGTTTTTTTTTTATACTTACGTCTGTTACCCCTCGCCTAGAGATGCATAGGCCACTGACCAGGATTCGCTAACCTACTCTGTCCTGGGTTCTCCTTTCCAGCTGTTGCTAAGTCCCATCCATTTCTTTCTTTTCTGCCCTCCAATTCCTTGTGGAATATGTTCCTTGGTCTTCCTCTTTTCCTCTTTCACTGAAGATTTCAGGTTAGGACTTACTTCGTGATGCAATTTAACGATTTACACAATGCATGCCTTATCCGTCTCCGGTGTCTTTTCCCAATTTTTTCTTCATCTGGAATTTGGTGTGCTCTCTGTCACAGTAGGTTGTTGCTGGTAGTATCTGGTCAACGGATCTGGAGTATCTTGCGTAGAAAATTTTTTGGAAATATTTGTGATTTATTGTTGATGGTTGTAGTAGTTATTGAAGTTTCATCTTCTTACAGTGGAATTGTCTTGTAATTTGTATTGAAAAATTTGACTTTGATGTTGGCTGACAGTTGTTTCAAGTTACAGATGTTCTTTAACTGTAGGAGTGTTGCTTTATCAATATGTGCTTTCACATCTGCATTAGATCCTCCTTGTTTATCAGTGATGCTACCTTGATACTCTTCATGGGGCCCTTCTGGGATTACTGCTGGTCCTAAGCCCAGATAAAGGAGGAGAGTTGGGCATAGGGTTAGCAACTGTGTGCAGTATAAAACAATCTTGCCAAAAAAATGCTAACGAGAGTAAGCTTTACACAATTACATATTTTTAAAATCATCGTTTTGCGAATAAATACTAATCATTTATTTTATCATTTCATAAATAGGTTATTTTAACTGTTCGTGATCCTGAAATATGGTTAGCTGGTTGTCGTTCCACTATATTACCTAAAGATATAGATCAACCACGTTCATGGTCATTTCAACTTTTAAGAAAATGTATCGGTTTACAACAATTTCATGAATTATTTCTTATGAATTGTCGACGTGTATTTGGTGAGAATATGGATTTTACTGATGATACTGCAATGTTAAATGGTTTTGTTAATTGGAATCAAAATGTTATAAAAACTGTACCATCTGAACGTTTATTAAAATTTGACATAAGTCAAGGTTGGGAACCATTATGTAAATTTCTTAATTTACCAATACCGAATTGTCCATTTCCTCATGTCAATGAATATAATGAATTAAGACGTTTATTAAAATTAGAACAACGTGTATTAAAATTTTCACAATGGATTTTACCCATGTTAATATTGTTTATTTTTGCTTATATGTTTTGTAAATTTTTACTCTAAACTAACCTATTTAACTTTATAAAAACCAACATCAGGTAAACTTATTTCAGCATGAAAATAAGCCTAGTTTTTTTCTCTCCATTGTGTTTAATTGTTACCTCTCTTTTGTGTTACTGTTATTGTTGTTATTTATTATCATTATTGTTTTGAAGTTTGTGAATGAGTCGTATTCTATGTCTTCCTTTTGTGATGTTTATCCTGTTTTGTTTATCAGGTTGTAATGAACTGATTTGTTAAAGAAGGAAAGATTTTGTTATCATCATAGTTGATTTGTATGTATGTAGGTGTGTGTATGAGTGTGGGTGCATGTAGAGTTTGTTAATAAATGCACATAAACACATTCCACACATTTATAAATTCTGTGTGTATTTTTTTCAATCGACATTATTTTTGTGCTGCACATTGTATCTTGTCAAAGTTATTCTTACGAAATTCGATCCCTTGTAACAACTATTGGTAATTGTCTTTCTTTTTATGAATTGATCATTTATATTTCAAAACGGGATTTCTCTTTACTTTGTTTTAAAGAGATTATGAAATAATTACTGATTCATGATTATAGCATGAGCTAATGGGTTTATTCATGTATTGTCCTTTTCTAAGTTTATTGCTCAGGATCATTTCTCTTTTTTTTCCGTGTTATATAACTATGTATTTACGAATTGTACTCAGTTTGTGTGATTTTGATTGCTTTTTTATTAAAAAAAAGTATAATGATTTGTGTATAAACCCTCTTCATTATCATTATTGGGATATAATTTTATTTAATATGATGCATAAATCTACTTAACTGATCAACTTATTATCATTTTGGTGTGAGGTGTTGTGATACAGTCCCAAATGCCCTGGTACGGCTGAGATTGAGGCGAGTCCGCTTTTCCTCTCGAAATGCTCTCACATGACCACGCGTATACAACCACTGTCAGGGAAGTCCTTCTCATGACGAGGGTCTTGTTTAACGAAGTCGAGAAGACGAAAAGTGAATGTTCGGCGCTCCAACCGGGTTCGTGGGTACGGAGAATCCATCTAATGGAGTAAGAAAACCCTAATTCCAAACCAATAATGCACATGGGCTCCAGAATCCTGAGGGAACGAATGACGTGTGAACCTATTGTTGGTCACCAGCTACCATGGGACTGCATCTCCTTTGTGGATTAGACCTTTAGGTCAAAGGCTCTAGGAGTGGCCCTCCAAAAAAACCACCTACTTCATTTTGGGCGTATGGTCAGTGTTCCAGTTCTCACGCAAATCGGATGACAAATGTGGTGCATATATATGTCGTATCTCCTTGCACCAATGTTTATGTAATTGAATAAATAAATAGTGATATTAGAGGTAATTCTTTTCAGTACTGACTTGATTTTTGTCTATCAAGGATTGTACAACTATATCATTGGTTACTTACTGATCAATTAAAGTAAATTCCTGATCCTTCGAAAGAGGTCATTTTGAGCCCTAATAAATTAATCGTAATGTAACAGATTGTGGAGATGGTTGATGTCAGTTCTAATTCCGAAGAGAGCATCAATCTCCTAAGGTTACACATACCTCTTGCCGACGAGTACCAGCTAGCACGAAACACTAGTCAGGCAGTGTTTCCTACTGGCTATTTCCAACCACCTCACATCAATGTCTTCAGTTGTGGTTAAAATAACTGGGTAGTTTGAATTTTTATATCTATAGGATCACGACATACTATTGGGCAGAAAATAGTTCTCACATGTTTATTATTAATTATGGCTTTATTCAATATTGTAGTACCGTTATATATTGGACATTGTGACATAATACTGTATCAAAACAATTAGCTGATAATACATGTACATGGCGACAACCCCTAATATCAACAATGGGAAAATTAAAAACATTTATTATTGTTTGTATGTAAGTTTAAATAAAGTCATATAAGTTACATCCTTTTAAATCATCATTTCATTTATTAGAACATCGTGTTTAAATCATATGACTAATAAATGTTAAGGTTGTATCTCTATGATTGAAAACCATTTCAGATATTTGGATTAATTTAGAAACTCTGAATATAATAATTATATTAGTATTTTATTTATTAACAAAATTTATTGAATAATTGAATTCATGAGTTAATTGAAGCTAGATCATCATGGAAAACCTGAAAGTACTGGACGGCCGTTTCTTTCTGTTATGGGACTCCCCAACAGTGCGCATCCACGACTCCGCCTCACGAGATTCCAACCCGAGACCTATCATTCTTGCTCGAGAACGCTCAACCTCTACACCACTCAGCCGATCGGCATACAACGGTGTTAATGTCCAACTTCAATCAATTCACAAAATTGAGCCATCGTCTACCATTGCCTTAAGTGAGTTACTATCTCACAACAGACCCGCGAGACTGATAGGTGCTGGGTTGGAATCTCGCGAGGCAGTATCGTGGTTGCTCACTGTTAAGGAGTCCTATACTAGGATGAAAAGGCCGTCCAGTGCTTTCAGCTTTTCCTTGGTGGTCTAGCTTCAATTGACTCATGAATTCAATTGTTCAATTACTACAAGCTTCACGAAACCCTCTCTAATTAAAATTTATTTACAAACGTTTATGTACTGTGATTTAAAAGACACCTTATAAAGAGTAGTAATATTAATCAATACTATCTAAAATGATTTAAGTGTAGCAGTATTTAAATCTGAATGAAAACCGAGTAACTTAATCACCAAGTCACAATCTTACGTCATTAACTGAATTGAATTGAAAACTTGAAAAAAAATTCAAAAGTCTGTTCTGTTTGTAAATTTACTATCCTCTTAATAGTGTACTAGTTGAACAGTGACGGCCTATATAAAAGTGTACATAAAACTACTTTAGATAATAATGATGGTATTTTATAAAATTGTTTTACATCTTAAATGGAATAAATTTATATATACACTATTGATCGATGGCAATCAGAAGTGACTCAAAGGTAAAGTTCATTTCATTGGGATCAATTTCCTTTGGATAGAGTGGTATATATATAAGTGAGTATTTGTTCATTACACTCAGTAGTACAATACACTTTCTCTCTCACTCTTGTGCTTTCGCTCAAATAGTGGTTAGTGCGTAGCACACCATGTATCAGTATCAGATTCGTACATCACACTTCACAACTGACTATCAGAATATTAATGAACATACTACATTTTACACTTTGTGAGATGATATTTATATAAACGTTTAAATTATCTTTTTCATATACACCTAGCTATTATTCTCTGTTTAGTAGTTCATCTAACATGTAATATCCTGTTTGATTTCTTATCAAAAACTCAATGAAACAATACTATTGAATCACAAATGTCGATTTATTCGAATATAGGGCGATGCATAATTTGTTTATAAATTGGAATTTTCTTTGCTATGTCATATGTTCATGCTTAACCACACCCATTTCAATAGTAGACAGTCAATTAGTTTCACTACCTTGTTCATTAGAAACGTGGATAAAACTTACTAATTAGTGCTAATTTATTCACTATTCAGGGATTCAAAGTCGCTTGTTTGTCTTATGTCTATGTATGAGAGATGCTCTTAACATTTGTATACACGATTTTACAATAAATAATTGTCTTCCAGATAAAGTTATTTAACTATGGATATGTAAATGATATCTACATTAATTTGAATATTATGCATGGTAACAAGACTTGGAAGTCTACAATAAGTTATGTTTACAAAGGGAAATTGTGTAGCTTATTTGGCAGTTTTTCATAGCCTGGTTTGTATGCTTCTACTGTAAACTGTTTGTAGTTGATCTGGACAACATAAATAACGCGTGTGCAAAGGAATTCGAAGAGGGGAATCGAAAACGTTGGGGAGGGGGAAGGTAGTAATTGTGTGAAGTTCAGAAACTGAAAAGATTGATTGTATAATGGTTATAAAAGATTTATAGATTTTATATAAGTCTAAGATCATTCAAAGATAAATATTAGAAGTAGAAAGCGGTAAGGTAGTAATTATCTAAAATTCGGATATCTATGAGGCAGATTTTACAGCAGTTGTAGAAAATGCAATAGCGATATATTTAATCGATACCGGACACACTAAAAATTCACTATGCTTTGAAAATTATCAGCAGATAAAAATATCCAGGTACTTTACACTTCGCCGATGTAATAGCAATTAGAACGTTCAAATCGAATTCATGTGTTATGGATTTATCACTCCTTTGACAAATTCACAATTTCAATTAAAATAATCTATTATTATTATTATGTAGACGGATTTAACCGCTCTCTGTAAGACTTGTACACAATGTGTAAAACATTGAAGGCTTCCGTCCCTGAAATCAATAACGGTTGGACAACTTCAAGTTCCATGTCCACAAACCTTCTCCTCTATAAATTATTATTGTGGCTTAAGGAGTTGCATTTATGACTGTGGTACTCATTCTCACTTGAAATTGTCCATTAGCCTTCGATAAATTTACAAATCACGAAGACTGGGCATTGGATACTTATGGCAGCTCTTCCGGAAACAAAATTACTGTTTAACTTACCTTGTTCGTCGAATAGGATTAATGGATATCATGTCTTCTTTTTGATAAGTCTTCTGACTGAACGTTTGAATCTGTTTCCTAAGCTCTTCTAATAACCCCAGGCTAAATCTACAAGACAACTTGAACACGTGAGAAAAGACGCAGAATACAGAAAGAACGCTTTACTCCAAGGTTAGTTTAGGTACAGAAAATCGAGGGTATTTATAGCATTTTAGACGGCATCAGATTTCTGTAAAGTTCTGGAACCCTACTAAACATAGTAGCACGAAAGGTAAACATCTGATCAGAAATATGACACATGACTCTTCACTATCTAGATGTTTCTGAGATACTTCTATTCAACTCTGACTAGAAAAATTGCTTCCCAGAGTTTTCAGGGCCCCTTTGACTTTTTATTCAACAAATAAATTTGCTATTTTACTTCAGATTCTTATGAAAACAAGGACTGTGAACTAGAAAGCGTCAGTAATTTGCCTCTCCAAAATCTCT